ATTAATATTTACAGAATATGAGGTTTTGATGTGTAGAACTTTCCCCCATCACCTTCCCTTAGATGCTTTGGCCAGGAGCATTTCAAATCCTTGTGAACTTCTTTTTGCCAAGGCAATACAGTGGGTACGAAAAATAGCTATCACTCCAGCAACAACCACAGAACTGTACTAAATCATGAAGCAGTCTAGTACGAAAACTAGATTCACACTGTACTATATGATTTCAAATGAGCAGAGATAGGTCCTCAGATTTCTAATGTAGATTTCCTCCCTAAATTGGGGCAGTCAGGCAAGGCTAGGCAACTCCTGAATTCATATCCTTTACCTTATCTCTTATCTTTGGCTACTTATTTTGCTTTTAAATCTTGTTGTAGCTCAGAGCTTTTAGCCCATGAAAAATAACCCTTTCCCATCTGTTCTGGACACCAGCAGCCTGAACACCAATGCTGTGTTCCCAAAGCACATTCATACATAAAAGTATCTTATTAGTCCAGGAGTGGAGAGGATATGTGTGAGAGCTGGCAGGAGAGCAGGCTCCTGCTACAGAGGCACCGCACGCGGGGGCGATGAAGGGGACAGAAGGCAGGGCTGGGCGGGCAGCAGAGGGGGAGACAGGCATGCCAACTACTTTGATTTTACCAGTTTATAAATTCTGGAGCTAGCAATTAAGAGACTGATTCTATTTATTTGTGAAAACATGAAACTGGGGACTTGTCCCTCAAAACATAGGATTCAGCTGTTTTGTGGGCCTCAGTGCTTCATGATAGGACAGCAGGGCCTTGTTCACATTCCTTAAATTTGTGGACCCGGCCAAGAAGGCTTGAGGCTTTCCACAATGCGAACTTTCTGCTGAACTCATCTGTTAGCCAATTTCTCCAGAGCACTTAGACTATTTTCTGCAGCGCTTGATGTTTCTTCTATTCCTAGGCCTTTTAAAGAATGAGTGATGCACTTGGGAGGCTGAAAACAGAAGGATCCCTACAAGTACGATTTGAGTAGCGAGGCCCTGTAGACAGTGTAATAAATACATAAAAAAATAAGAAATAAAAAATAAGAATGAATGATGGCCATATCTTCAAATTTCCTGTAAGACTCCTGGAAACGGCGATAATGGAGATGAAGCTTTTGCTGTATGGGATTGTTGAGGTTCTTCAATCGTAATGCTTTTTGAAAATTATCTTTTGCCTTTGTGAATTGGCCTATTTCTGCATATGTTTCAGCCAGACAAACATAAGCCATCGCATATGTAGGCTTTAGGTTTAAAGTGCTTTGAAATTCAGATATAGCCAGTTGAGCTAATCTGTGCACATTGTCTCTATCCCCGCCTCTTGGCCACACATTTGTTGCCCTCTTTTCTTGGATCATTTGCTTCTTGTAGCAAAGCCCAATGTGGTAATGCAAGGAGGCAGAGTTGGGTGTTGCCTGCAAGGCCCTTAACAAGAGCACAAGAACTTTTTCTACACAGCCTTTTCTTTCGTAAAACTTGCTTGCATATCGAAAAACATAAGCTGGGCAGAACTCCTTGCTCAGGGCTTCTTCAATGTACCTTTCTCCTTCAGCAACCTCTCCTACTTCCTGGAGCTTTAGGGCAAGGAGGGCCTTGATACACGTGTCATCTGGATTTAGCCTCATGGCTTTCCTCAAGGGGTCTAGAGAAATCACGCTCCCGTTGTTGTGGTCTTGGCGGTAGGCGATAATGGCATAGCCAGTGTTGAATTCGGGGTTTTCAGGCTCCACTTTCAGAGCCTTTTCAAAGCAGGCTTTGGCCCGGTCATAATTCTTCCTTCCACAGTTCAGCAATGCCCATCCTTCCTCACAGTCTATCTCAGGACACTCCATCCTAAAACGTGAGGAACCTTCAAACTTCTTGCAAGTGTGCTCTACCTTGTCCAGGTATGCCCCGGCGTCTGCCAACCTGCCCATGTGATAATACACCCAGGCACAGTTGCCCCAAGTCACCAGGCTCCTCTGGTCTGACTGCTTCACAGACTGTCTCTGGATTAAGCCTTCAGCTTGTTTCAAGCTCTGCAGGGCCTCGTCATTCTGGCCTTTCAGGTGTCTCACATACGCTAGGAGGTTGTGAAATCCCACGTCATTGTTGGTGTATTGGAACTCAATCACTTTCAGAACCTTGTTTTCTAAATCAGGTATTTCAATATCTTCAATTATCAGCTCCCATGTAAAGTGACATCTCAGCTGGACCAGCCTGTCTTTTATCAGATTTCCATCAGCTTTCTCACTGTAAAGAAACCAAATTACTGCTTATTTTTTGAAGAATTTTAGTAAACTGGAAATGAAGACAACATTTTAAATCATTATATATCTTTTCTGCCTGTATCTCTGCCTGTACAGTTTGCTGCCTCTTTGGGATCTACGGTCCTGTCTAGTAGCAGACAACGTGTCAACATAAAAGCCCTGTGGAAACGTTAGCGTCTTGATGGTATCAGTAATAAACTAACTACAAGTTAAGCCTAAAAATTACATTGAGTCTAAAAGTCTTCTCAGAATCATTCTGCTATGATGGATACAGTCTGAGCACCACTTTCAGCTCTGACTCCCTTCTCCCTTCTGCTTCTTCCAACACTGTGTTACATCACTAATGGTCTCAGGAGAAATGTGGAGTGAGGACTCACAGCAGTGTGGACCCTTTGCTCACCTTTCCACATTCCTACCATGACGCATGTTTGGATTTCTCTCTTGCCAGGAAGAGAACAAGAGTTAAAATAAAAGCCAGAATATTTTGGCTTAAAATGATGAGCTTTCTGACTGCTTAAACTGGTTAGAGAATTTGGCAGGGCATCACTGGAAGTTTATTTGGCCAATCCCAAACACAGTAGTAAAGCAACTAGTGGAATTTGCTTTGTGGAGTCAGAAGTAGTGAGATGGGTGAATGAAATGTGAGGCTAATGTAGGCCCCTTTGTTATAATTCAGGAATAAAGAAGTCAGGTGACCTGGAAGCTCAGTGCAGAACAGGTACTCCAAATCTCAACAGTTATATTAATTGTTCCCAACTATCCAAAGGGAAAAGATAAAAATAAGGGCTCAGTGTGAACAAGTTCTCTTCCCAGCATTTCTCCTCCTGTGAAGTGGAGATGAAGCCCTATTCCTTCTATACAAACATGAGGGAAGAAAAAGAAATTTTTCTTTATTATTTGAAAAAAGCAGTCCTTATAGCCTACATAGTATTAATACCTATTAGGCCCAAGAGTACACTCAGAGGAGGCTCTCAGGGTCCTCAGGGTCTCACTATGTAGATCACACTTGTAGGGATTCTCCTGTTTACAGCCTCCCAAGTGCTGGGACTACAGGCATACGTCACCATGCCCAGTCTCAATGGCTATCTCAGCATGCCCCAGGGGCAAACCCTGACCATTATGCTCTGCCTTAGCAGAGGCTTTAGGCTGCTGAGCTATCAGGTCGGCTCACAGAAAAATTTTTCTTTAACCCTATGTATAGAATATATAGTAAAAAAAAATGTTTAAGATGTTTGACATTCAAACAGATAGTGAGGTTAAGCCCAACTGCCTATGTTGTAGGGTAATAATAAGAAGCTTTTCTTCTGGAGAGTTAACAACCTAAATTTGCAGACCAAAGATTAGAGAAAAAGAAGGGCTGCAAGGACAGCCAACATTTTGGCCCTAGCCTTTCAAGGTCAGTGAAGACTCAGGACATAGGAGAACCTGCACTGTAACATCATGTAACTCAGTTGTGTCCCAAATTCTCTGATCAAGGAGATTATGGGGCCACACAGGAATGTGATCAATGATGTAGAGTGTGCCTAAGGAAAATCACATGAAGAAAAAACATTTTCTCAGGCTTTCACAGAGAATAAATTGGTCAAGCAATGGCCGTGACTCATCCACATGGCTGACACTGACAAAGGATCTACAAATTGCGGCACAGGTTTTCAGGATAAATCCTGAGGGGACTTTACTGACCTTATCAGATACAAAAATTACATTTCTTGTTATATAAGTCTTGCTTTATCTTGATCTTAACCATCCAGCAAAAAGGCGTAAAAACATAGTATAAAAAGTAAAGCCATATTAATATGCTGAACTGTAAGTCTCAAGTCAACAACTGCTGACATTGCTAGTCCAATGGATAACCCACTACTATTATGGACTACTGGACTATATTGAAATATTTTGCTGAATTAATATACCTACAATAATCTAATCTTTGCAGACCAAAGATTAGAGAAAAAGAATATTTAAATGACAATGCAATAGCCTTCTCTGACAAAACTAAAGAAAAAATGTGGACACAAATGAATGACCATTTTGTATCTGTATATTGAAAATAGTTAGGATAGATATACAGCTACTTTCTCTTAATTCAATGAATAGAAAGATTGATTCCAATAGTGTTTGTGGACAGGATATCATGTCTGAATCTTGTACAGTGAATAACCACTAAGACAACAATATACAATGTATCAATTATTGAAACTGTCCTACTAATTGGTTTTGAAACTGTTTCATGGCTACTTGTTTCTCAATAAAATTATTAAAAAATAAATGAGGCATTGAGGAAGAAAAAATATATATAGTAAAAAACAATTTTTTACATAACTTCCCATCAAGATGTAAATCCATGTTTGCCCACAAGAAAATAGACTATGAAACATTGCCTTTTGATAATGAAAGAAAAGAAAGAATTTTTGAAATGATGAATACTGCTTCTGAGGCAGGCAGAGCATGCCCAGGTGACATACCCTTGCTGTCACCTCTGTCCCAAGCCAAGAGCTCAGTCCAGTCCTCATTTTGCTCAAAGCACCTACTTCAAAAACTCACCAGGGCACTGCACTCGGGTTCTCCTGGAAGATGCTCTGCCCGTGCGTCCAAGCCATTTCGCCAAAGGATGATGCCTCAGACTCGAGTCTGTTCTGGCTTTCAAGCTGATTGTGAGGTGGATTACTGGGGTGAGGAGCTCCAAGTCTTTCCCTTTTATCACCAGTGGCAGCCCAGAAATATTACCCAAGGCCATCCTGGATATATTACCCAATGCCAACCTGGATATGTTACCCAACACCAGCCTGGAAAGATTACGCATGCATTTCTCTCTCTCTCT